GGATTCTGAGAAATGTTTGACAGTCGAATACCTGAAGGTTGAACATGGCTTATCCACTGGAAAGATAATTTAGTTTCCAGAGAGCTTAAAGGTGGAATTTAAATACCTAGTAATGCTTATGATACAGGTCCCTTCCGCCCTAGGTAACCAGATGGGCAGATGAAAGATCCACAGTGGTCTCAGGAGAGGCTATTTTTAGCAAGTTGCATGTTAGCCCTCTCTGGTTGCTCCAGCAGAGCCGATGGAGACCCCCGACATAGTTTGTGTGAGCCCACTTCTGTCCCCTTTCCTTTCAGCCAGGGCAGCTGCCACTCTTTACACTAGTACCTAAAGCAGCGCTGAGTATGGAGCAGGAACTGGAGGGGGGCGAAGTCTGTTTCCCCTACAACAGCAATGTGCGCTAAATGGAACCTTGGCCAGCCGCTCGGCACGTGCCCACCTAGGGAGACTCCTGGACATCTGCACCCCCCTGAGAGAGGCCACCACAAACATCTTCTTGTAAACACCCGGGGATCTCCTGGAAGTCTGGCCTCCCCCCGCCCCCCAACGGCAATACCTGTCAGCAGGGCTCCCACACAATAGCTTCAAACCGTCCACCTTCAGAGGACCAGTGAAAAATGGAATTCAGGATATGAATGGTGGGGGTGGGGTGGAGTCACTGGATACTGGGCAAAGATGTAGGCTCTGTACAAGGTGTGGATTATCTGCAGGAAGAAATGAATGTCCACGGAAATGCTCTGACCTACTTGCTTATTCATGAGAGAGCAGTTTTGTTTTCTTGAGGGCCTTTATCCATGTGGTCACACTTCTGTCACTGTGAACAGCAAAAGGGCATGGCCAGCTTCTGGTACAGCCAGGCTCTTCGCAAAAGAATGGACACACTTGGCCCTCGAATGCCCACAGAATATCCTGACAAAATGTGCCCCCCTGACATTATGATGATCCTGCCAAGCCACCCGTAGACTGTCTACCATGACGCCAGAGTAGTCGTGCAGCCTCCAGGAGCCAACTTTCCAGTCAGACGCCCAGAAACCGAAGCAACCAGATCTGGCCCACATACAGGAACCTTATTCTGAGTCACTCAGAGAATTACAAGTAGTTCCCAGCCTTTGGGGTTTAATGGACTAGTAAATTTTCAGAAAAGATTTTGGTGACCCATATAAAGTTGCCAGCCTCTTATTTTCTCAAGTAAGGACATGTGACTGTGGTTCCTGGGAGGTTGTGTTTAAAAGCCACAGCTGTCATTTGTGATCCACTATATGCAAAGCTGTGGGCTGGGTACTTTTCCAGAAATATCTCACTTGATCTTCACAATGTTCTGGCAATTTAAGTATTATACTCATATTGCAAATGAGGAGAGAGGCTCAGATAGGGTAAGGAAATTATCTGATGCCACACAGCTAGTTAATGGCCAAGCAAGGCTCTGCAGAGCCCAGGTTTGTCTCCAAAAGCCAATGTCTTTCCCACTATACTATTTATCACATCTGAAATATGTGCATATCATTCAAATGTGATTTGTTTTTTAGATTTTATTTATTTATTTGAGAGAGAGCACAAGCTGGGGGGAGAGGGAGAGGGAGGAAGGAGAAGCAGACTTCCTGCTGAGCAAGGAGCCCGATGTGGGGCTCCGTCCCAGGACCCTGAGATCGTGATCTGAGCCGAAGGCAGATGCTTAACTGACTGAACCACTCAGGTGCCCCTCAAATGTGATTTTTAAAACACTGGTGTTTTGATGAAATGACAGAATGGTTAGGAATTAAAATTGAGTTTTGTCTGTGTAGAGAGATTTAGGCTTCCAGGAAAAGTCTTAAGAGCATTTTTTGCCAACTTCAATTTATTCAACATTTCTCCAACTGGAGATGAAAAACCCCACAAAAGCTAAAGAGACTATTTCTATCTGAAATTGTGATACACTGATGTTAACATACATTTGGTCTGAGATGGTGAGGAATGTAACTTCTTTAAACCTGATCAGGGATACCTGGGTGGCTCAGTTGGTTAAGCATCTGCCTTCAGCTCAGGTCATGGATCGAGTCCCACACTGGGCTCCTTGCTCAGCAGGGAGTCTGCTTCTCCCTCTGCCTGCCACTCCCACTGCTTGTGTGCTCTCTCTCTTTCTCTGAAAAATAAATAAAATCTTTAAAATAAACACTGGGGTGGGTATGTGCTATGGTGAGCGCTGTGAATTGTGTAAAAAACTGCTGAATCACAGACCTGTACCTCTGAAACAAATAATACATTATATGTTAAGAAAAAAAAAAAGATAGTAGGAAGGGAAAAATGAAGGGGGGGAAATCGGAGGGGGAGACGAACCATGAGAGACTATGGACTCTGAGAAACAAACTGAGGATTCTAGAGGGGAGGGGGTGGGGGGATGGGTAGCCTGGTGATGGGTGTTAAGGAGGGCACATTCTGCATGGAGCACTGGGTGTTATACGCAAACAATGAATCATGGAACACTACATCAAAAACTAATGTTGTAATGTATGGTGATTAACATAATAAAAAAAAGAGAGAGATAAAATAAACCTGTTCTGATCAAATATGCCTTGAAATAGGTTGTCACAAAGTAAGGCTTATGAGAGGTTATCAGTGTTCACTACATCATTAATGATTTGGCTATTAAAATGAATGGCTCCTGGTAGAAAAGACTGACTCACAGAATTAACTTTATTGACCATATAAATGAAGACAACCCTACTCCATTTCTGTTTGGCCAGAAAACAAAAGACAAAGGGATAGATTTTGTTGACATTTGCTAAGATTATCAAGGTCTCTCTTTCAGAAGAGGTGTTAGGGGATAAGTTGTAGCCCCCCCAAATTTGTATGTTGAAGCCCTAACCCCTAGTACCTCATAATGTCACTGTATTTGGAGACAGGGCCTTCAAAAGGTGATTAAGTTTAGTAAGGTCATATAGGTGAGCCCTAATCCAATCTGTGTCTTTATAAAAAGGAGAGGGAGACACCAGGGATGCTCATGCACAGAGGAAAGGCTATATGAGGACACAGCAAGGGGGTGGCCATCTGCACGTCATGGAGAGAGGCTTCTGGAGAAACCAAACCTGCTGACACCTTGCTCTAGGAACTTCAGAACTGTGAGAAAAATAATTTCTGTTGTTTAAACCACCCAGTCTGTGGCATTTTGTTATGGCAGCCCTAGCAAACTAATACAAGAGGAATTAGATATTTGGCATGAGCTAAGCCCTTCCCCCTGATGCCAAGGCAGCCAGTTAGAGAGACATCAGTAGAATATGATGGATGAGATTTTATCATCCAGTAAAGATGGTTTACACTGAGGATCAACTGGGAAAAAGGATTTTCTAAGAGTAGAAAGGAAGTCAAATGTCAGATAGTGATTTTTTTAAATTTTTTTTTAAGACTTTGTCAGAGAGAGAGAAGAGAGAGAGAGCAAGCACAAGCAGGGGGAGCTGCAGGCAGAGGGAGAGGGAGAAGCAGGCTTCCTGCCAAGCAGGGAGCCCGATGAGGGACTCGATCCCAGGACCCTGGGATCATGACCTGAGCCGAAGGTGTAAACGCTTAACCGACTGAGCGACCCAGGCGTCCCTCAGATAGTGATTTTAATAGTTAAACTAGTGACTGCTATCAGCTAGGTGTGTTTACTTTTTTGCCACATAGTGTACCTTATAATAATAATATGCTTATGATTATTTACCCAATAATTACTCCTCCCCTGAGTTAACAGCTAAGAATTTATGGAAGAATTTATGGAAGAATTTTATTGGCTAGAGTGAGGGCATCTGCCAGTTTCCTGGGACTTGAATCTTGTCCCAGCCACTTCCTAGCTGTGTGATTTTGGGCAAACTACTTAAATGTCCCATGCCTTGGTTTCTTCATCTGTAAAATAGAGATAATAGTACCTTCCTCATAAGGTTGTGTGAGAAGTAAATGAATAATATATATAAAGTGCTTAGAAGGATCCCTGGCATACAGTAAGCACTGAACACGTTAGCTATTATTTTAACTGGGGCCTCTTTCTGCACATGGATAACACGTAGCAGAACCATTGGGCCTCCACGGTTCCACCAAGGTATTTGCCAGCAGGCGCCAGCCCCTGTGGACTTGCCAGCATGGTGTCGAAGAAGAATAAGCGGGCCTGAAGAACAGCAGCTATTAAATCTCAGTGTTTAGCATCATCTAGGAGACTGACAAAAATGCAGATTCCTGGGCCCTGTCTCCAGAGATTCTGATTCACCAAGTTGGGACAAAGCCCAGGAATCTGTCTCTTTAGTGGGCACCTTGGTTAATTCTGATACAAGTGGTTCTCAGATCCATTATTAAGAAATACTAATCAAAAACAACTTCTTCTGTATTCTAAGCTATTAAATTATTGTAAATGTCATAACTTACTAATCACAAGTCCATAATACAGTTCATTTAAAATATTTGAAATGTTTAAATAAAACTAACTTAGGTAAAAAATGAATATGTAAACTTGCTTTTAAAAAATCATCTGAAAGTCGGGCGCCTGGGTGGCTCAGTCAGTTAAGCGTCCGGCTTTTGATTTTGGGTCAGGTTGTGATCTCAGGGTCATGATCTCAGGGTCCTGAGATCAAGCCCTGCGTTGGGCTCTGCACTCAGCATGGAGTCTCCTTGAGATTCTCTCTCTCCCTCTCCACCTCTGGGCACACTCTCCCTCTTTTTCTCTCTCTAAAATAAATAAATCTTTTTTAAAAAATCATCTGAAAAATAGTTTCTGCAAGTGTTACTAAGAGTTATGGATAAACCTGAAGAAATTTAGCATCGAATGCAGACCTCAGTTTCTCCACAGATAATTTGTTATTCCATTTGAATCATTCCAGGTGAAGATGAATTGCCCAGCGCTCCCCTCAGGGTTATGGTTTTAAATGAACTGAGTTGAGGACAGATGGGGAGAGATATATGAAAGCAGCTTATTAGGGAGAAGCAGGGAGAATGGTGGTTAGGTTCATCTGGAGGAAATGGTTCATTTAGCCAGAAAGTAGCAGGTTAGTTGTACGAATTAATCAGAAAGTTCTGCATGTAGATAATGATATCTGTGAGAGACTTTTTTAGGGAGCCAGGACCCTGAAGAAAGGCAAATAGTGCTGGGCCCTCTAAGATGGCTGGAGAAAGCTTAATCCCAAGTTGAAACTGGTCATTCAACTTGGAGCTTGACAAAATATGATAGTGTTTCCCACGGTCAGAATAAAGAGTGATTAAGGTTGGACTCTAGGATAACTTTGGAACTGAAAAACCTGATTATTGTGTTATGATGAGTTCCTAAAATCTGTACACCTGCTAGCTGCAGGACTGAAGTTTGTAGCTGATTCTTCTTTCCTACTGGTCAAGTTGCTGTGCCCAAGTTGTGGGAGGATGGTCATTATTGAGGCAATAGAGGTGAAGTTCAAAGGGGAGAAACTTGGGATCCCTGGGGCAGCTATGCAGAAACTTAGAGCTTTCTGTGTGAGGGAAGGGGGAGTGTTGGTTCCTGGAGTTTGTAGCCTCTGTGAGGAGCTCACCTGAGTGTTCTGAGGGCATCATGGGGAAAGTTTCTTGGTTATGCAACAGTGCAGTGGTAGAGTGTTTCTTTAAAAAAAAAAAAAAAAAAGAGGTTTAACAAAGTTGAGGAAAATAGACAATACTGATATCGTTTATCTAGAAAGCTTTCAAATTAGACCCCTTGAAATCTTCATGCTGCTTTTCAGATAAGCTATTTGGATACTATTGGTTCACCAGATTATTTTCTCTTCACTTATAATCACTTAGAACATTTACTAAGAAACCAAAATGATCTAAGTTACTGAATTTATACTCTTGGGGCGTATGTATTCCAAGATACGTATGTATCCGTGTGTGTATACATTTTATGTGTATTACTTATAATTTATGTTTATAACTTCTCATTTATAGCATACAGGTGCCATTATTTCTTTTTGCTACTGTAAATAATATTAATCCTTCTTTTGAAGAAATATTTTAACCCAACTCTGACTTTTTTTTTTAAACACAAATCAAGGCAAAATGGAACTACTGGTTAAAGGTAGTGACATTTCTAGGGATCTTGATACATTTTTTTCCTCAGACACCCTCTAGAAGCCCACTTGTTTGCATTGCATGCCTAAGAGCAGAGTATCAGCACCCACTTTGCTGACAGGTGCAAGAATGAACGCTAACTTACGACAGCCTTGTCTACCTAATAGTAAAGGGGGATGTCTCGTTTTTATTCACTTTCCTTTTCTTACTGTTGAGGTTGGATATATTTTCTCATGGTGGTTGACCTGTAATCTTAAGAAAATAGCATTTTTGGGGCAAACTTAAGACAAAGCAACTATGACCATCACAATTAACTCCATTGCACTGGCATCTTTGTTGTATGAATTCTCAGCCTCCTAGCATCCATTAAGGGAATTTTTTTTTTTTTTTTTTTTTTTTAAAGGAGAGCGTTGATTATGAGAATAGAGAGCCTGGGTTTGTGTGTAGGACTGACTCAGAGCCCTGCCGTTTAGTCTTGTGTAACCCTGAAGAAGTTACCCAATCTCCCCAGGCTTTGGTTTCCTTGACTGTAAAACAGAAAGAGGCTGACAGCCCTCACAGTAATTCTCACAATGACATTGTATGTTAAGCCTGTTGAAACTTTCAGTCAAATGTAGCTACTACCGAAAAATGAGAAACGTCTCTCTCCTAATTACCCAATAGCTCTGTCAAGGTATGACAGCATACCTCTTAGAAGCCAGAACTTTTAAAGTCCCAACAAGCTGCATGTTTTGTTCTTTAAACTTTTGCAGCAGCACAGAGAGTGGGACTTTTTTTTTTCCCCATTAAAAAAAAAAGGTGGCTGGGAGATAGGTTGGCTGCTAGCCCAAGAGTGGCCTCAGAGTCTTACAGGACACAGCAGTACTTGCTGGTATGGTGCCTAGTACTTTAGACAGTTGGCCCCAAACTGATAGGATAAATCCTCTTGCACTTCTCTCTTCTTCCCCAATATGGTGAAAGAAAGCGCTCCTTCAAGTGCCACTAAGCCTGTGTGATCATTCTAAGGTCATTCCAAGACTTGGGCTTTCCTTTTAATATTGTGCTTGTATCTACCTGCCTGTCATTCTAGGGATTTCTGACGTAGATTCTCAAAGACTTTCTTTCACTGAGATTTCAGTTCTTTGCATAATGGGCTTTTGAGACTAAATGTATTTTTTTGAAGCATTTAAAAAATAAGTTTCAAATTTTAGGTGTTACCTGGTCTTCCCCACTGAGGATGTGACTCCGACATGCACGGGCTGTTCAGCCCTGCTGACCAGGTTGACCTCCGGATGGGATGTCTAATAGTGCCAGATGCACCCTGACATCATTCTCCGAACCGCTTTCTCTTTCACATTCTTGTACTTTTCCAGCTGACGGCCCAGAGGGTGGGTGCCAATTCCACCAGCAGCTGCAACTGGAAGGTTCAGAAATGTCAGCTATCCTCCGGGAGCTGCTCCGTGTGTCTGAGAAAGCTGCCAACATTGCCCGGGCATGCAGGCAGCAGGAAGCCCTCTTCCAGCTGTTGATCGAAGAAAAGAAAGAGGGAGAAAAGAACAAGAAGTTTGCAGTTGACTTCAAGACGCTGGCTGATGTACTCGTACAGGAAGTTATAAAACAGAATATGGAGAACAAGGTAAGAAAGGTCACAGCCAAGGTAATTGCAAAATACTTGCCTTGTGGGTTTTCCCCAGTAGAATAGCATGCCTTTTCCTTTTCCCTCCCCACCTCAGAATACTGGCACCTAGGATTCTAATAAATAACCTGGCCCCCCCCCCCGCCTTGTTTTGACTACAAAATTACTAAAATGTTCACTGCAGAAAAAATTAAAAATACAGAAAAGCAAACATGGAAAAAAAATCACAGTTCTGACAGTTGAAGAGAAACATTTGGATATAGAGCTTTTATTTATTAATGAGTTTCTTTTTAATAAATAATACCCGTTCTCCAGAAAATAAGCAAAAATAAGAATCCTTAATCCTACCACTAGAGAAAACCACAGCTATGTTTTACTAAATATTGTAAGGACATTGTGTACTTGTGTGCATGGCACATAGAATTTATCTCAGTAGAAATGAGAACATACTGTTTTATTGATTTCTTTTTTTAACTTGACATATCCTGTCCCACCTTTTGATGTAATCTTTTATCTAATGGTTGCCTCAGTTTTGGGCTGGTACAGTCCTGAAGACTGAAAATCCCCTTTTATTCTAATAGAAAATCATTGTTTATAACTAACAATGATTGTGATTCTAGGTATCTTAAACTGGCTGGGAAAAGAAACTACTCATAAGTAGTAATAACATAATGTAAGACCAGCAGATATTTATGAGTCCTTACTGTGTGTCAGGCACTTCTAAGGGCTTTAAATATATTAAATTATTTAACAATTATAATAATTTTATGAGGTAAGAATTATTATTCCAATGTAATGGATGAGAAAAGGGAAGCACAGAGAGGTTAAGTAACTTGCCCGAGGTTGCACAGCAAGTGAATGGCAGGGCTGGCTTTTGAACACACACTGGCTCCAGAGTTTGTGTTCTTTGCAATACTATGTTGCCTTTATATTATAATCTAATAATAACACATTTTTTTAAGATTTGGGAGGATAGAATTTTATGACAGAAAGCACTACAAAATATTGAAATAGTTTCTATTGAAATTCTCAAAATATTGGGAATCAAATGGAATCATTTAAGTGAATTCTTGACCACAGGCAGAAAGAGCATAAATGACCCCTTGAAATCTCTACAAACTCTGCTTTTTCATGCCCTGTAGTATCCGGCTCCAATAAACGAAGTAAATTTATTTTATTTATCAAGGTAGTTGAGTACGAGGGATGGTTGAGCAATTTAATTAGAAATGTGTCAATATTAACTTGTATTAGTTAATATTTGCCCCAAAGCATTGTAACAAGTTCAGCACTTGTTCATTCGTAAAGTATATGATAGGACTTATGAACAAAGAAATGATACTGACTTTTGGCTAGATAAGATGTCTTTGTTTCATGACACTTACATCCTGTAAGCTCAGAAGCCAGTCTTGAAGCAGGCTTGGGACATGGAGCTGCAGCCCTTGGTGAATGGGCTCATTGGCAGCCCCTGTTGACTTGCACTGTCCTTCAGAAGAGGAAAAAACAAGTGGTTGTGGGCAGTATTAAAATTATTGGCCATCTGCAAATGACTGAGTTCAAATAGTTGAAGCATTTCCTTGCTTTTGTTCCCTGAGAACATCATCACGCATATCATAATTCAGCACATAGCTTGAGAAAAATTATCTTTACTACAGAGAGGATCAGAAGCAAAATGTATCTGAAAGCTTCCTGGTCATACAGAGATGAGAGAAGATTCTTACTTAGCTCCACTTTTTTTTTTTTCATTCTACATTGATGTGTTAATTATCAGTCAATAAAATATTTCCTTTTTTTTTTTGCTATATTGCCTTCCTTGCCGTAAGTCCAATGATACCTTCAACAGGTGCAGGAAACACCTGAAAATGAAAGCAAACTCTAATGTTATCCTCTAAACTTAATTAGTAGTCATCTTAGGTTCTTGGGCAATGCTGTTAACTCACATAAGCTACTAGGGTGCTATTGAAGAGCAACAGTTAAAATATTTCCTTTGTAAATATTCTAGTTCTATGGCCCTTAGTTGGAAGGATAAAGTTTTTAAAGTACTGCAAACTCAACAGAACATAAGGAAAGCAGACTTCTACCATGATTTGAACTTCCTAGAGGGGCAGAGGAGCAGGAGAATGTTAGAAAACTAAGTACTGAACCAAGCTGACTTCACTTTTTATACTGGGATTGATTTCTGGAATTGTAAATTTCTGAATTTCAGATCTAGCTGTGCTATTTAATTTGAAGCACAAAATGAAAATATCAGAATTGAACATGTATGTGGAATTTGGGTTTTGTTTTTTTTTTGTCTTTGTTTTGTTTTTTGGTTTCTTTGTCATACTCTGAATCATTCAGTTTCCAGGCTTGGGAAAAAAAATTTGGGGAGAAGAATCGAATGAGTTTACTAATGATTTGGGTAAGTATAAGAATTTGAATGTATTTTTGTAACTTAATCATCATATGCTATTCTAACGTTCAACAACGTCATGAAATAAATGTTTGGAAGCCTTTCATGTAAATAACATATTTGAATGTTAAGCTTCATTCAGTATCTCAGAATATCATGCCATTTAAGTTAGAGGTGGTACTTGGAATTATTTAGCAAGTCCATATGTATTCTTTTAGCTATAAGTCTGTAGCACTTAAGATAATATAGGACAATCTTTGGGGAAGTTGCGTGGTCCTTTGAGAATCTAACAGAAGTTACAGATGCACGTTACACAGTTGTATGGACAATTTTAGGTCCAAGTTTTAAGCCCATTCATAGACCTCCTGGGGAGTCCATAGACCTTGCCTGAGAAGAGAGAGGCCCCATCTCTGAAATACTGTGTGTTCTTGAGCAACGAAAACTTGTTCACCTCATCAGTTCTCTGGTCTCAGAACCTCTGTAAAAGGAGCTGAATTAAATAAAAGGTTCCTTTTAGTACCACATTTTAAGTCTTCTTTAATTAGTTTCCTGTGGGCCAGATTCTCCCTTGATGTACCTCCACATTTCCCGGATGGTAGAGAAAAATATCAAAATTTCTGATCCTTTACAGCGAAACAAATTATTTTAAGTTTGTCTGGGTGTTGTTTGTTTAATGATAGAAGATTAAAATAGTGAACTTTATCATTGATCATGTGACCAGTAGTGAAACATCCAGAGGCACAGCTGCAAAGGAAAAAAAACTAACTTCTGGATTAATGCTGGAAGATTGCCTCCTTCATGGGCTATGTATTACAATGCAATTAGTTCTATGACACTCAGGGAAATCTCATTTAAACTTAAGGATAAAAAACACCTGTGACTAACTAATAAATCCTATGCTTGAAATCCTGTGTCTGGCTACCTCAAAAACAGTTATTTTAATATTTCATTTATCTAGAATTATAAGGGCAAAAAGACATTCCACGAGCATGTTTCTGAGAACCGAAGGGGAGAATGAAGTTAGAATGCAGGGGGGGGGGGGGGAGAGGCGGCAGGCGGGCAGAGAAGCGTGGAGCATGGGATGGAGGAGGTGAGTGCAGGCAGGAGCAGAACATGAAGTTTGCAGAAAGAGTTTGCATTTTCCTCCAAGTATGATGGGAATTCAATGGAGAATTTTAAGCACAGGAATGATGTGAGATGATTTGCTCCTTGGATTGATCCCATGACTTTTCCTGAGCCCAGTGTCGGTGCTTGGTTAAGTGGCAGTGATTAGCCTTATTATTCCCTAACTTCAACAGTTTAATTTAATTTGAATTTAACTTCACTAAATGCAATAGAATGTTTCTTGCTGATTCAATCAGATTGTGATCTATTACAATCTATCATTGTAATAGATTCATACTGTGCTTCCCAAACTTTAATGATCACGGAATCCCCTGGGGATCTTTAGCACTCAGCTGTGGGATGGAGCCTGAAGTTCTGAATGTCTAACAAGCTCTCAGGTGATGATGCAGATCCTGGCCAGGGTAGCTAGGAGTACTTGTCTCTGTACCTCAAAACCCCCAAAGTGCCATGTCTTCTGCTTGTTATAAGTTTATATTCACCACTGCTGTCACTTTTTGTTGCTATTAATTTGCCTATTTTTGCCAGCCTCTTTCCTCACTTTTGTTGGGAGCTGGAAACAAGGTTAGTCTAAGAAGCATATTTAAAGTGATGGTTGGAGCGCCCGCATTTGGTAACTTGTGGTGTCACTGGGAGAAGGAGCTTTACTTTCCAGTGGGGTTCAGAGAAGAGAGCTGTTTCTGTGTATGTCATGTCACGTCACATCACACAGTTTACCACATGTGAAGATTAGTTATACTCATCTTATAGTACTTTACTGAGCAGAAACACTTTTTAGTTAAAAGCAGTATCCTAGAGAGAGATAGAAGCACTTCTGTGTGCTGGTAAGACCTCTCTTCTTTTCAGTAACATATTCAAACATTAACAGGTTGACCTATGTATATTAAGAGGCAAAAGGCAAAAAAACATAAATATCATCCAAGACTCAGGGTTCAGGGGTTCTTAACTGGTTCATGAGCCCCCTTAGACTGGATACAGAATTGTGTGCACTTGCCCACGTGGACATTTTTCTGGGAAGACATTTCTTTGATGCTGGGAATCCATCCCTCACTTCATATTAGGTATATGCGTGACTCCTGGGCAGCTGGGACCTTGTGAAGCCCCCTGGGTGATTCTGGCAGTCAGCCAGGTTAGGAACCACGCGTATGAACATGTTGCCCTCACCTAATCTTAAGTGCACGGCTTCTGCTCCTCCCCGCCCTTCTGTTGTTTTTCTTCCCGGAAACTCTTGAGATGCAATGGCTTTTAGTTTGTCTTTATCCTAGGGGAGAAGATTATCCTGAGACTGTGTCCGACCGAGGAAGAAACAGTGGAGCTCCTTAGCAAAGTCCTGAGTGGTAACAAGTTGGCGTCCGAAGCATTAGCCAAGGTTGTTCATCAGGATGTCATCTTTACTGACCCAGCTCTGGATTCGGTAGAGATCAACATTCCACAGGACATTTTGGGAATTTGGGTGGATCCCATAGGTGAGTAGAGGAGAGTGTTTGCTTTTATTGGTTCTTATTAGTAATCGCTTGGTCGGGGGAGGTTTGGAAGAATAAAAATTGAGCATGTAGCTGAATTCTCCTAGAAATCTTTAACATTTTAAAGTTGTAAAATGAATAATGAAGGTTGAGGTACATGTGTGATGATGTGTTATAGATACATGTATATTTATAACATTTCTAGAACAGATATGTATTTGTGTGCATCTGTGTGTGTGTGTGTGTACACACACATGCATATATATAAAGCTTGAATTAACTCATTTTTGAAAGAGTTCGGGGGCCAGACTGGTAAAGAAAACAAAATAATGAAGTGATAGTAGCTATAACTAATTGAACACACCTGCCATTTAAAGAACACTCAGCCCCAGCAGATTGTTGCCACATAGGAGTACAGTCCAGATCATCAAGGTTTTAAAGAGAAACGAAAATCCAGGTTTTTAAGTGATACCTCCCAATTTTTAACCACTGACTACTAATTCAATTAAGCAAATAGTCAAAACCACTGTATAGATCAAGCAAAACACAGCTGAATGGGACTCACTCGCAGTCAGTTTGTGAGCCTTGTGTAAATCTTATCTATTATTTTTTTGGTCACGGTTGTGGTAGAACCCTAATCGAAGCTCTGAATTTTAAAAAGTGTAGGTCTATTTCAATGATGCTATTAATACAATGCCCTGGCTGTTGATTTGCGGAGTCCCTCCTTTTTTTCATTCCTACTTGCCTGGCATATTCCACCCAACCCAACTGGGACCATTCCCAGGCAAATGCCCCCATCCTCCCATCTTGCAAGCATACAACATTATCAAAATGCCTTTAATCATTAGAGAATTACAGAACATTCATTCAATGGATTACATATGCAGACTAAGAATCTTTCCCAAAATCTTTTATCACTTCACGGTAAATTAGCATTAGCTGAGGTTTCTGAGGGACAGGGATCTCCTATTTCTTGGTTCTACTCTGAGTTGACTCTGTTAGCCAGCTATGGGGACTTTTCTGCCCCACACCCCCTTAGCCGGCTGTTAACTCACCAGATGTTGGCAGTCGGCTACTGGCATATAGGTCTCTTAAGGGGAAACCTGGTTCCTTGGTTTTTTTTCACAGGAGCACCATCAGTTTCTTCCTTTTGTGCCACCATCATGGTCTCTTTCCTTCTTCTACTTTGAGGGACCAAAAAAAAAAAAGTTAATTCCAACCCCGAGAGCCTTCTGGAAGGAGATTTTCCCATCCATCCCTCCATATTATACTTGCCCTCTGATTAGTAAGAGCTCTAAAGAATCCCACCAGTTATCCTGAGTCATTAGCTTTTAAATGCTTTTGACATGCAATGAATATCTGAGTGCTTATCGTATGCAAGGTGCTATGCTAGATGCCACAGGAACTATAGACGCGTTGTCCCCCGTCAAGAGTTCCCATAGAGTTGGGGAAAATGGAACACAGGCATCTTAAAAATAAAGTCCAAGAGGTCAAATAACAATTCCATACCAGTGACACCCAAAGGTAAAACTTGATTGATTGCTCTCTTAGTCTGTTCAGGCTGCTGTAGCCAAATACCATGGACTAGGTAGCTTAGAAACAACAGAAACTTCTTTCTCCAAGTTCTGAAGGCTGGGAAGTCCAAGATCAAGGTGCTGGTAGAGTAAGATGAGGGCCCTCTTCCCGCTTCATAGCTGGCCGCTTCTCGCCGTGTCCTTGCATAGGACAAGGGACGAAGGATGTCTCTCGAGCCTCTTTCATAAAGCCCTAATCGCATTAATGAGGGTTCCACCCTCATGACTTAGGTGCCTCCCAAAGGCCTCACTGACTAATAGCATCCCCTTTGGGGAGTTAGAATTTGGGGAGGACACATTCAGACCATAGCAGTTACCAGATTAGTAGAAGACAGAAATGACACAGGGCAGAGTTTATAGATGTTTCCGTCATTATCTTTTAAATAATCACTGCCTGAATCCAAACAAATTTGCTTCATTTTTTTCAGATTCCACTTATCAGTATATAAGAGGTTCTGCTGACATTAAATCCAACCAAGGAATCTTCCCTAGCGGACTTCAGTGTGTCACCATTTTAATTGGTGTCTATGACCTACACACAGGGGTGCCCCTAATGGGAGTCATCAACCAACCTTTTGTATCACAAGACCTAAACACCCTCAGGTAAAAGGGGAACATTTCCGGTATATTGTGGTTTGGGGAATTCACCACCTCAGCTTTGCTTATTGTCGAGATGATCACTTGACATGACATTACCGTGACTTGATACACTGAGGTGCTCCTACTAAAGTCTGCAGGTTTGAATTAAAATTCTTTCTCTTTTCAGTCTCGGGTTAAATATAATTTTAGTGGGGGCTAGGTGCATGCAGACAGAAACTTTTAAAAGAAAGTCTATCTTGGAGAAATCCTAGTTTTGCATTTGGAAGATCTCAGTCCCGTTCCCTGTTTTCTAGAATCCATTCAAAACCAGACTGAGAGAACAGTGGTAACACTGTCTTCTCTTCCATTTGAAACAAGGTAGGTGCTATCAATACAGCGAAGTCAAACATTCATGCAATTTTAGAAAATTTTCAAAACAAGTATGAGTAAGCATGCAGTGAAAAGATGAGTAGATATGGCCAGGATTGGACCCTGACTATGGGGTACTCTCCCTATAAATACTGCCTCCCCCCGCACCTTGCATGGCCTCCGGCACAGAGCATGGAGGTGGCCAGGCTGCCCACTGCCTCTGCCCCAAGGCCTGTACTTGGGGTTGGCTCCAGGGCATGGCAGAGTCCAGGTGGAAGCCAGCAGCTTTTCTCCTGTGGCTTCAGTTTTGAAACAGGCCCTATTTTTCCATGTCTGTATGACTACACATTTTTATTGAGCTTTGAGTTGCTTCCCACAACGAAGATTTGTTCTTTAATGAACATAAACGACACCTCTGCAATTTTGACATTTTTTTTCCCTCTACCCTGCCTTCTTTCAAACTGAAAATGTGTCTGTTATCTTTAAAGGGTTATTAAGAAATTAAAAAGAACTGGGACTGGATGCAGACATAATCGTGGCCTAGGAACGACTGGCAAAGTAGTCAGTGGTGCCGATTGTGGAGTGAGGCTTCCTGGTTTACATGCAGATCCCAACACTGACTAACACACAGTTATATTCTCTAACGCCCCGTTCTCCCCCTCTGTAAAGAGAGTAACGACCCAACACGATAGAATAACTTAAACATGGAGAAATAAGTGTTTGGTGGTGTTGTGGCCACAAATAATGAGTCCATCTTTCTTGGTGTTAAGGCCAAAGTAGAGCTAGTGAATAAAAGAATGAGAAGGGATCACCAAATGAAGAAAAACTGGTTAAGGATGGTCAAAGATTCGCAGGTTGAAAAGAGAGATGGTTTATCTGTTCATTTTTTTTCCCTATTTAGTGTTAAATGCCAAAAGTGGCAAATGAAATTCTGCTGTGTTCCTGGAGGCCAGAAATCCCAGAGATATTTTCACTTTGTCCTAGATCACATCTAAAACCCACAGCAGGGGCGCCTGCGTGGCTCAGTTGATTAAGCATCTGCCTTCGGCTAAGGTCATGATCTTGGGCACCTGGGATCAACCCCACCCCCCCTTCCACCGGGCTCCCCGCTCAGCAGGGAGTCTGCTTCTCCCTCTCTCTCTGTCCCTCCCCCCTGCTCTCACTTGCTCTCTCTCAAATAAATAAATAAAATCTTAAAAACAAACAAACAAACAAACCCAGCATTCCTAATCTGCAGCAACCCGGCACCTGCAAGCATAACAGTTACTTTTACAAACGAATGAGCTGCTTGCTATTTCTAGGCTTCAGGGCATCGAGACTCACTGCATTATATATTTTCATATCATTAAGTTGGAAAACAACAGGAGTAATAAAAACAAACGTGATAGCCTACCTCCCCGAACTGAAAAGCTCTCTTCCGCAGGTGGAAAGGACAGTGCTACTGGGGCCTTTCTTACTTGGGGACCAACATCCATTCACTTCAGCTTCCCGACTCTGAAAGAAAGAGCAGGGACACACGGAGCCAAGTGACTGAAGACACCAACTCTGAGGCGGAATGCTCCCACAGGTTTTCAGCTGTCATTAGTACAAGTGAAAAGGACACTGTCAAGGCCGCTTTGTCACGTGTATGTGGCGAGCGCATGTTCCCGGCAGCTGGGGCTGGTTACAAGAGCCTCTGTGTTGTCCAAGGCCTTGTTGACATTTACATCTTCTCAGAGGATACCACGTTCAAGTGGGACTCGTGTGCTGCTCACGCCATACTCAGGGCCCTGGGTGGGGGAATGGTAGATTTAAGACAATGCCTGCAAAGAAGTTCCGAAACGGCACTTGACTGGCCACAGTTGGTGTACCACGTGGAAAACGAAGGTGCGGCTGGCGTGGATCGGTGGGCCAACAAGGGAGGACTGATTGCATACAGATCAAGGAAGCAGCTGGAGACATTCCTGAGCCTCCTCATCCCAAACCTCGCGCCTGGGGATACATGCACATAGACGAACTCCGTCCTCGTGTGCTTGTTCAACACCCAACTGTGAAACAATTCCCCACATCTGTTATCTTTTGAAGACAGCTTTGTCCTATTGATGGTCAACATTCTCCTTCCTCTTCTGAGGAGCATTTTTCCATTATGTGTTCTTAAGAATGTTAATTTCAATAAATGAATGGTATTTGTGCAGCAGTTAAACAGATGTGTGAAATTCTTAATAGTGGGTATTGTGCTATTAGTGTTGCTTGAAACACTCCAATAAAATATTGAAGAGGAAAAATTCCTGCTCAGTTAGTAACACTCCTCTAAGCATCTAAGTCATAAGTAAAATGTCACTAAAATATTAGGGAGCACACAAGAAAAAGCTGTGCTTGGGTTTTGTTTCCTGTCCTGAAGGGATAATCTGCAGCTTTAGCCTTTGGCAGAACACTTAGAACTATGAATTTGATGCATAATTTAGCCAAGTTCATGTACTTTGAACAGTATTCTTATGTTTCTTAAAAGAAAGCCTGGAGCAGTGTGTGTCCCCTCCTTCTCTCTCTCTCACAGTCTGTCTTTCACATGGGTGCTCTCTCTCTCTCTCACACACACTCTAATATTCTCTAATTCTCTAATATCATCACAGACATACTCCATTTCTATCTATGGCAGAAGGGGATAAAGAGGTTTCTGCAATTCTTGCAATTTTTACACTTCAAAAACCAGGGGTAGACCTAAATATAGAGTCCTTGTGTCTACTAGAATCCCATATTGAATGTCCTCTGAGGTGAACGTGGACCTCTTTTCCTATACTCTTTAGCAGCCTTGGTAAGGACCCAGTCCCCCATCTGAAGGGATCCAGCTCTCAGCTCTGATTTCTTTCTGCCTTGCGCCCTCTGGGGGCCAAAGGATATTTCTGCAGCATCTTCTATTTTTCTATAATTACAAACGAATGAAAATGACAAACTCTTTTTCATAGTATTGTGTTGCGTACAGCAGATTCAATAATTTCATTATTGGCAATCGAGTTATCGCACTTAAAGCCATCGTTGTATTTTGTGATGGACTGTTGCCTCTCAAACTATATATTCTTACCACTTACAGTGTCATCTTGACCGATTTTAAATAAAAGTGAGTTCATTCTTCACAAACCACATTAAAAACGAAAGCGCAGAAAATAGTCCTGCTCCCTAAAATGTGCCAGAAAGGAGACATAGAATATGGTTCAAGGAAAAGCATTTATATTGGCCAACAGACACCTGAAAAAGTGCTCAACATCACTCGGCATCAGGGAAATACAAATCAAAACCTCAATGAGATACCACCTCACACCCGTCAGAATGGCTAAAATTAAC